GTGTTGTCCGTCCCCGCCCCGTTCTGCATAAGTGTAGGGTTAGGGTTAGGGTTAGGGTTAGGGTTAGGTTAGGGTTTGAGGCAGGAAGAAAGGAAAAAAAGATAACAACACAAGATGTTCAAAAAAACAAAACAACATAAGATCACAATATACAATCACACAAAAACACATACAAAACACAAAAACATGTCCTGACAATTACATACAACAATATATTTACAATTATTCTTTGAGTGCATGACTGGGATAGTCCCATTTCCATATAAGGCATGGGACTGACGGAAAGGTCCGTCCCCGCCCCATTCTGCATGCTGCAGCGAAGTGTACCTCAGCGGGGGGTGGGGGTGGGGGGAGGACCAGGAAGGATGATTCAACCACTAGATGTCGCTGAAAACAACAAATCCTACACACTGTGCCTTTAAAGGACTGGCACTATCAATCTTTGGTGTTTATAGTGAACGTTTTTGGAAAGTATTGCAGCTGAATGATGGCTTACCACTTTTTAAAATTTTGGTTCTTTAAACTAAATGCATGTGTTTTGTGTGTTTTTAGAAGCCAATTTGAGTCCAGATTTTATAGAGAAGTGTGTGAATGAAGCTAAGGCCAACGTAGACGCAGTCTATACATACTCCAGACGAGAGTGAGTGTAAAAAAAACATTTTTTAAATCAAATGTTCCAAATCAATGTATTTATAAGTCTGACCTCTCTGCACACAGGAGCATTAAACGGGTGAAGAGAGACACAGCATCACCTGCAGACATCCTGAGGCTCCTGAAGCAGCCCAGAGGAGTGTCCCGTATGGCTGTGCGAGCAGCTGACTACATGGACAACACACTTCATCTGATCAGGAGGTCCCTGGCAAAACGTCACAAACGTGCCATTAATGACACAGGTCTGCATTTATTATGATTTCAATTAGATTTGTTTCCAAGGGTTGAACTGCAGCTCATTTTTGTTCCTATCTTGTGTTGACTAGATCTGATCTCTGATTCGGATCTGGAAGTGATCTCCAGACTGACAGGCTGTGCTGCACAAGTCAGACAAATAGCTTGTCACAGTATCACTCACGTAAACCAGTATCGGACTGCAAGTGGCATCTGCAACAACCTGTGATGCAACAATTTGATTATAAAAAACAAAACATAATTTAATGGAAAAAGTTATGCATTAAATCTGATTCTAGACTTGTCATTTTTATATTGCATTTGTTTTGAAAGACATTTGCTCGTTTTATATAGAAAAACTGTGTAACAATCGGTTTTATTTATCTCTTTCAAATAGTAAAAACACTCGTTGGGGAGCCTCAAACACCCCATTTGCATATTGGCTGCCTACTGAGTATGAAGACGGAATCTCTCTTCCTAAAGGCTGGCATGGACTGAAAGTCAACGGTCAATTTCTTCCTCTGGTATGACTTTCCGAGTCACCTTTCRTCTCTACTCCAGTACACAAACACCTGTACTMATTGTCTWCATTTTGTCCTCAGGTAAGAGAAGTGTCCAACCGTATCCTGGCAACAGCTAACTATGAGGTCCTGAGCGACGTACGCTACACTTTCCTGGTGACCATGTTCGGCCAGTTTATAGACCACGACCTGACTTTAACCCCTCAGTCTCCTTCCATCAGATCCTTTAATAACGGCATTGACTGTGACAATTCATGTATCAACACAGAGCCATGTTATCCCATTAAGGTCAGTGTTTTTACATTTTGATATTAAATTATGGATACATGTAAGATACACTTTAAAACACACACACATTCACRKCTAACAGCTTCTTGYMCTTTCAACAGTTCCCCAAAAAGGACCCCCGCCCTGACAGTCACCCAGAGTGCATGCCCTTCTTCCGCTCTGCTCCAGCTTGTGGTTCTGGCAACACAGGCTACATCTTCGGTGCCAGCACCACCCGCCAACAGATTAACGTTATCACAGCCTACCTTGATGGGAATCAGATCTACGGTTCTGACAACAACAAAGCTCAACTGGTACGAAACCTCACTTCTGATGAGGGTTTATTGAAGGTCAACACAGAGTATGATGATGACGGTCGTGAGCATCTGCCCTTCACTCCTGCCATGGGAGCCAACATGTGTGCCACCCGACGCAAAATAACTAATGATGCAAATGCTGAGGAGGTGCAGTGCTTTTTAGCTGGTAAGCAAAAAATAAATAAATAAATAAATAAATAAACACCTGTAATAACAAACTTAAAAAAATCAACTTTTCCTAAAGATGATAGCATTTACCCCTTCTTCTTAATAATTTAATCCCCTCTCCATTGTACTGTAATGCTTTTTTTCTTCAATTACTGTCTCTGCTCGTAATTATTTGCTTTTTAAGCAGGTTTTTAGCATGTTTGTATGAATTTTCATGTTATCTTATTAATRTTTTTATCATTTGTAAATGTATTTTTATATGTTCTGTTTTGGTTTATTGTGAAGTAATATTGTGAAGCACTTTGTGGCTACTTGACTGGTGGTATAAAAATGAAGTTACTTACTACTTACTTACTTTAAGGTGATGATCGTGTTTCTGAGAACATTGGATTGATTTCTATACAAACTGTGATGTTGAGAGAGCACAACCGTTTGGCCCGGGGACTGGCTCAGCTCAACCCACATTGGAACGGAGAGAAACTGTACCAGGAAACACGCAAAATTGTGGGAGCATATATCCAGGTAAGGGACATGAAAGCACAAGTACAAATGTTTGACAAGACAGACGCCACGTCTTGCACAGACTTTGGTAACGTGTCAACATAGCAAACCTTTTGTACTATAGGTTATCATTTTCAGAGACTGGCTCCGCATCATCCTTGGACCAGATACCATTGCCAGTCAGCTTTCAACCTACTCAGGTTATGATGAWAAKGTKGATMCCAGAATTGCAAGCATTTTTTCCACAGCTGCCTTCCGATTTGCTCATTCAATGCTTCAACCCTTCATGTTTCGTCTTGATGAGAATTATCAGAATCATACTAGTTACCCCACAGAGTTGATCACTAAAACCATGTTTACAACATGGAGGGTCCTCTTTGAGGGTAAGACACTGAACTTCTTAACTCTTCATAAAGTAGAATTTAAAAATCATGGATCAAGTCTAAATGGTTTCATGTGTTCTGCAGGTGGAATTGACCCAATCTTGAGGGGCTTGGTGGGTAGCAAGGCTAAGCTGAACACCCAGGATCATATTTTATCTGATGAACTGAGGGATAGGCTGTTCAAGTTCCTTGTAAAGGTAGCATTGGATTTGGCATCACTGAATATGCAGAGAGGCAGAGACCATGGACTCCCTGGTAAATATTCAGTCTAGATGCCTTGAGTCTGGAAAGCCTGTTGCATAAACCACTGTAAATTCTGCATCATCCCAAACTGTGCTTTTGTGTCTTTTAGGCTACAGCAAATGGCGTGGGTTCTGTGGACTGTCACAGCCAAAGAATTTGAATGAGTTGGCTACAGT